TTGGTAAGTCAGCAGTCTACACGGCTCACAACGGGCCTCACCACCTATAATAGAATCTAGTCGTCAAGTTCTGTCATAAACAAACAACTGCATCTGCGTCCTCAGAGCTTTACTGAGTCTCTCACTGAACTGGCTTTGGGTTTGACAGGTGGATTCCTGGTCACTAACGCACATTAAAAGTACAGCTTTAAGGTACCTACTTTAGGAGTAGAGAAACATTTGTCTGATATTTTATCTAGCATATGACAGCTTTTGTATATTCTACATAAAAATCTGGCAATATTTATTCAGTGGGCTCTATAGGTGAAATACCCCCCAAAACTATCCCCTGAAAATGGCTAAAAATATGTTCATGTTTCTCCAATGTAAAAAATTTTTCAAATATCCAAAAGTGTTCAATAGAACAAGGGTGTTAACATCCTTATACCTAAATATTTTGTCTTATTTCTAAAATCTACATATGTATAATCATTTATCTAAATGTATACATATGAGAATATGTATATGTAATAGAATCTTTGTATAGTTTTTTTTTTCTGAATCACTTGAAATTAATTTGTGGCACCTTCTAAGAATAATTCATATAAATTCCATGTATGTGACTGAGATGGGAACATGTTCACCAATCAAGCATCTTGAATTCTTATCTCAGGAAGGTAGGTGCTTTTTTGTAGTATTAGGAGAGGCCCCTGATATTGGGAGGCCCTAGGAAGCCACCAAATCCAGTTAATGTTGGAGCCACCTGTGTGCATTTGAATCCTTACTATTAGCTCTGTGGTCAGGGCAAGTGGCTTGTGGGCTCTGATGATGGCAGTGGCAATGGTGATAATGATGATAATAATAAGAGCAGCAAATTCTTAGTGGTCCTTCCTGTGTGCCAGGATCTACCATTCGAAATTCTTTCCCTATATGTTACTCATTTCGTCCCACAACCATCCTGGCCCTGTACTTGGTTGGTCACCTTAGCTACGCTCGAGCTGCACTTCCCGGATTCTCCTTCCCTGCAGGACTATTAGGGTTGGCACGTGAGGTGGGAGGTTGGAGCTAGGCTGGGGCTGATCTGCTGGCTCACTTTGTTGGCACAAGGCCACTCCCTGGGCTCGGAGCTCCTCCAGCTCTCACTGGATCTCTGATTTTGGCTTTCTCTGGTCCTGAGCAGGTACATTTTAAGGCCATGGCAAAGGGTGCCAGCTCGCCTTTAATCCTGACAGCCCAGCTGATCTGGGGAGGTCTCAGGCCCCGCACCACATGCAGTCTTCCCTGCCAGCTCCCCCTAATGATGGGAAGGAAGCTGCAATGTGAAGATCTTGGAGGAGATCATTCCAGGCAGAGAGAACAGCCAATGCAAAGGTCCAAAGGCAGGAATGAGTGTGCTACATCCGAGGAACAGATAGCAGGCCAATATGGAAGCAGCCCAATGAGCAAGGTAGGAGAGAATGATAGATAAATAAAGCCAGACAGGTAAGCAGCAACCAGCTGATTAAAGCCTTAGGGCTTGGTAAGATCTGGAAAAGACTGTAATGGCCATGGGAAGTCGTTGGAGAGTCTTCATCTTGAAAGAAACATGATCTCACGCATCTTTTATGATAATGTACATAAACATATGCACACAAATGGTCTAGATCCTCAGTGTGCAAGATGAAGTGTAATAAAACAAAGCTCACGTCAATGTTTGCTTTATTCTTTCCAACCACTGTCACCTTCTGCGCCTCCTCGTGCAGAAAATCGTGTGCTTCACCACACAAACAGCAAGTCTTTCTCTGCTTCCCGAAAACAAGTCTCACCCTTGTGCACTGTTGGTGGGAATGTAAAATGGTGCAGCTTTTAGGGAAAATGGTATGGCAGTTCCTCTCCTCCCAAAATTAAATACAACTACTTGAAGATACAGGTATCTGTGCACCCGAGCTCGCAGCAGCAGTATTCAAGATAGCCAAAAGGTGGAGGCAACTTAGGTGTCAACTGATGAATGAATGGCTAAGCAAAATGGATCATATTCATCTAACAGAATATTATGCAGCCTTAAAAGGGAAGAAAGGTCTGACACATGCTACAATATTTGCCCTCTACTTCAAATCCCTTCTGTATCTAATTGTTTTTTATTAATCTTATTGCATGGTATACGTCTTTGTTAACCTCTTTAATCTTTTTCTTTTTAAATGTGAAATCTACTTTAAATACAAAAAAAAGAAAAAAGATAACATAGCCATTACTCCCAATATTTTTTTGACTAGATACTTTTCCCTCCTCCTTCCATATAAATAGAATAATTAACATGTTCATTTAGGGGAAGGAAGTCCTGGGGCAGGGAGGAAGGGCCTTTTCTCCTGTTTCTGTCTGCCCTGTTTCTTCACCTGCGTGCCGCTACACAAATGTTCAATTTGTGAAATTCACTAAGCTGTATATTTATGACAGGCACTTTTCTGTATGTGAATAATTTATAGTATTTTTCAATAAAAGTAAACAAAAACACATAAAGAGGACCTACTATGTTTAAGATATGATGTCGGTTTGGTTCTATGGGAAGTGGAAAGGGTCATAAAAGTTCTTGACTTCATAAAGCTGTGTAGCATCGAGCATCAAAGCAAATTTCCACAGTGCATTTTCCAGAAGGATCTCGGGCAGCTCCTGATGCCAGTAACTCCCCACTCGCCTCCCTGCCTTTCCTCTTGAATCAGGCAATGCCAAGGAAGGGGAGGTAAGTTTCAGGAAGGGGACAGCTTTCTATCCACCTTCTCAGATTTGGGTAAAAAACATTTCCAAATTCTTATAAGGGGCTCAGTAGCTCCCAGAAAAAACATCTCAGCTTTTCTCCTCCAGAGGAATTAAAATGGGAGGAGGAGGTCCCTGAAATATGGACTGTTAAGTCAATGGAGCAGGACTAGGAAGTAAAATGCAATCTGTATTTCAAGAAAGCAACTAAAAACTACCCAGCCACATTTTCTTCAATGTGTAACTTCATCCAACTGAACAAAAAAAAAATTTATCTTGAAAGTTAGAGTTGAAAATGGCACTTACAGAACATATACTGCTAAAGAGAATGTGAACATAAAGATGTACTCTCAACTGCCCCTCTGCCCATGACTTAACTATCTTAATTTTGCTAAGGACTAAAACACAAATTTTTACATTGTTAAGTAACTTAACGAGACCTGCAGGTACAGATCTCATACTAGCGCAGAAGGCTGTCTCTGCAGTGACTCAGTTGAACAGGAACCTGTTCAAATGGCTGTTACCAAGAATTCTAAGGGGGCAATTTGTCATTTCTGTCCACATTAATTTAATTCCTCCACATATTACTGTTTTGAACAAAGGCCTGCATTCCTGAGTCCCAAGATACAAATCTTTTTTCTACTCTTTCACACTTTGATGCGCCAACTTCAAAAGCTAGCACCTGTACAGATTTTATAACCATTTAAATGCAAGGATCTTCTTTGAAATATTCTTTCCACGGTTCCTTTGAGCAGAACTCTGGCCAAGCTTTCATACTGTGTTCTTTCACTTATATCACTAGAGGGATCCAGAGGGAAAAAAGTACTCTAATTACTGCAAAAAGGAAGAAGTCACTTCAGAAACAGTCACATTCATTTTGGTCTTTTAGTATAAACAAAATTCTTTGCATTTCATTAACTTTTACTTGGTGCAACTGTATTATATTTTGCATAAAGAATTGGCAGTCTTCAAACACAAAATTTTTCTCACATTTCAAAAGGGATTATTGAGCAAATGCTAGCAGTTTACTGGATACATTACTTAGTTCCTTGTGTGCATGGTTCAAAAGGAAATCTGAAAATTATCTAGTTCGGATAAATAGTAAGCATCTCAAGGTGACCTTTCTGACTTGAGAACTATGGCCTGGTTGCACTTTGAACCAGTTATCTTACATGTGCCAACTTCTCATTTTGTTTCCTGGTATGTGGATTACAGTTCTAGTGTTTAAAGCCAAAACCAACAAAAATTATGAAACTTTACCTGTGATTCAAGTAACCACAATCCATACCTCTAACAGCAACATCCCCCAACTTGCTATCGACTTTGTCTTTTCAGATAGCCAAATGTGCAAACTGAGATGCCAGAGGTGGAGGTTTTTCAGAAGAATAAAGCCCTATGTGCCTGGAACGGATTTACCTGTTACTTCAAGAAAGCGTGGGTCTGGAAGCATTTCTCAGGTAAGACCAGGTGTAGGATGTTCTGTAATCTACATGCTAAATTTTGAATTCTAGTGTATAATTAATCATCTCTATTGAGTTTGGGACAATCACCAGAAGGATGAGAGGGGAAAGGGGGCTGGTGAGCCAAGGTGTTCACCAGGGAAGGACTAGGTCAATCTACTGTGTGTCAAATGTATTCACTGACTCCTTCCCAAGCTTGGTGAAATGAGAAGCTCTTAAGGCGTCACTTACTCCTTAAAATGTTTAAGGGGAAGTCATTTTTCAGGTCCTCACAGAATTTTAACAACCTACTGCCCAGCAGTAAAGGGTGGAATAGTAGAAGGCAGGGAGGCACCAGAGGGAAGAGAACAGATATCTTCCCTACCGAATGTCAATATATTGTATTTCACAATTTTCAGATAGGTGGGTTTTCCTGAAGTTCCTCTGTGGGAGTGAAGAATGCATTGGTAAAACCACCCTGAGTATTGAGGGAGCAGATTCAGGAATCTTTAAGAACTAGCTCCCTAGGTTATAAGCTCACGCGAAATCCCCAGGAATCCTGGAAGTCTTGCGGATGCTCAGAGGTTGATAGCAGAGGCACCTATAAGAATCAGGAATGTGTCTGTGTAAGCACGTGGCCCTGACAGCAAAATGGAAACAACCAATGGGAAGAGCCTTCCATGCCGCCTCTGTCACTTAGATCCAGTATGGCCACCTTGACTACAGAAGTCATGCATCTCTCCTTTTCCCAAGCTCATCTCTCTGTGACAGGTACGATGGCTTCTGGCAGAGTTACCTGGTTTGTTTCTCTGTCCTGCAAACAGACAGACAGACAGACAGACATGCCCATACCTGCAGAAGGATCTTGTTCCCGTCGTGGTCCTCCGTCTGCCAGCGCCCCTCACTGATGGGGCTGCAGGGGTTGGGCAGGAGAGGCACGAGCTCCCCGATGTCCCTTACTCGGAACTCCAGCACGGAGGAGTCGGTGGGGACCGGGCTCTGGTCACAGGGCAGCCTTTTCAGGGAGAACTGGATGTCCACGTCCAGATTAGAGAAAACAGGGAAGATGCAGAAGTCCGTTTTCCTCTGGCTGGGGGTCCGCCGGAGAATCAGCTCGTAGAACCGCTGGCTGTCGGCATAGTTGTCGTGGCTACAGTAGATGGTGAAGCGCACGATCTCCTTGCCATAGTGCACGGGCCGGATGGCCCACAGCGGCGTCCCGGGGGCCAGCGTGAAGAAGTCCTGGCTGCAGGGCAGGTAGGGCAGGAACCGGCCCTGCACGCGCTCCGTGTGGTGGTGGCGCCAGGGCGGCCGCTGCAGCGTGCGGTGCAGCTGCAGGATCTGCTCCTCGCCGTACTCCTCCTGCAGGAACAGCACCACGGCCAGCGCGGGCTGCGCGCCCTTGGGGGCCTTCCGCCGCCGCCTGCACGCGCGCCTCTCGGACACCCGGAACAGCGGCAGGTCGGGGTGGATCCACGCCAAGACCTTGTCGATGGCCTCCTGCAGGGCTTGGGACTCCCCTGGGTCTGCGATTATGTGGATGCTGACCAGGAAAGGGTCCTGCGCCTCTTCCACGGAAAGCTCACCTGGGAGCACACAAAAAAATGAATGCATGAATGAATAAATAAAATATGATTTATTTCACTACAGTGTCATATTATGACATGTCTGGCCTTGGCAGGAAGAGATGCCAAATTCTAACTGAACTGACTTCATAATCTATGATTTTCAGATCCCAAATGAACGTGTAAAAACCACTAGGGCAGCACCCTAGCAACCAGAGACAAAGGGCCCATCGCTACCAAAGCTGCCCGAGCTGGACAGTGTTAAGAAAACCTTGGCCCTGTATTTCACCAGGCTGAGTGGCACAGGGAACATCTGACTTTCTGTTCGTCTGTTAGACAACAGAAAGTCAAGTCCCATAATCTGGAAGGGACAGCAGGCCCATTCGAGAAGATCCTGTAGCATCACATGCACACTATCTAGTATTTCCTGAAATAACTGCAGTGCCTCACCCCACCAATGTTCCCTATACCAGTGCACTCCTCTGGTTTGCTTATTTCGTGGGTTTATTTTGTTCATTCATTTAACAGACACTTAGGGGCTTCTTCCTATACGCCTGATGCTGAGGGAGGGCTGGGCACACAGCCCAGGACAAGAGAGAGGTGCTTGTCCCCTGGAGGTAAGCCGTAATTGGCAGGTCAAGCTCCGGCTGGTGAGGTGTCCCACAACATGCCCCCTAGGGGTGGGGGTGGGGGGAATGGTGATGATCATCTTGCTACTGGAGATGGGGGGGGGGACGACGACAACCCGGTGGCAAGCACAGTGTTCTTGCTGTTGGAGCTTAATGGGGGCTGATGTTAGGGGTGGAAGGGAAGCAAAGTGAGACCAGGACTGCCGATGTAAGGCTGCCTTTGGGGTCTCTTGCCGGGCCAGGTCTACCCAGAAGCCCACATATTCTGCATGTGGGTTACCTTCCCTAAGTCCTCTAGCAGAACACCTGAAAGTGTGAAGTTGTTTAACTTGGCAACAGTTTCTCAGGCAGTGACTATTTGCTGGCCATACTGGCATATTTCTAACTCACATAACCATACCTTACTCTTTTAAAAGATTGCTCTATTTGCATTTTATATAAGTTTCAGGACTAATCTAACAGAAATCGAGACATCTTGAGGCCAACTGTGACTCAGAGGGCTAGATTCATCTAGAATCTAGACCTGTGTTCATACACATGTCTCACAGTGTCCACTAGGGGTGCCAGGCAAACAGTGATCAGATGATCAACTGCATTGGAGGAGTGTGGTGTGCTTTTAGGAACCACTACCTCAAACAAGTCAAAGGATGAAAGGTAATGTTTTTGAGGTAGGTAAACTAGACATTCCTAGTGGGCCCACAAGTTCATTTTGCCATGTGCACCTGTAATAACATGGTTTTAATTTCATCAGATCAAAACCTGCCTGAATTTTCATCCCAACTCTGATATCTTACTTCAAAACAGTTGAGTTTGTTGTTATCTTCTCTCCCATTCACTCATTCATGCACACATTTGTTGAGCAATCAACTTGTAACAGGCACTGGTAAGACAAGGAAGCTGGTACCACCAAGGACTGTGGGAACATGTTTACATACTTTGGCATGACAGTGCTCCCTTTAGAGTTATGCAATGTACAACCTGCACAACCACAGGCAGTGGCCCTCTAAAGAACCATAAGCCACATTTGAGAACTCCATGATTTAGTTGGGAAGCATGGGTATAAAAAATTAAAATCCAGTCTGATATATGCCTATAAGGAATACAACAGAATAGTATCTTGGGGTGGGGGTTAGATTCTAAAGTTACTATGAGGTAAAGATCACCTACAGACAATATCACCACTGAAAGTCCCCTGAATTTCCCATAAAGTACCGGATGGCACTGACTTGCAACAAGTCAAGCCACATAGATGTTTCTTTGGTTGAACACCAGATGAAATAACTGGCTTGCTGCAGGGCACTGCATAGAAGAATAGTCCATTTCTTTAAACATTGGACCCCACTCAGCAAACCATGTCCTTTACTCTACAAGGGGTTTCTAGGAGCCTGAGAGGCTTCTGGAATCTAAGGATGACTAAGGTAAGAGCAGAGTCAAGTTTCAGTTCTCCAACAATCATGGAGCAGAATGGCAGGTGGAATTATTTACACTGGCCTCCCTCTGGCTGAGCATGCACTCCCAAATTCATGAGTTGCATGTGAGCACAACGCAACTCTGACTTCCTACCACACGACAAATGAAGGAGCAACTCTTTCTCCTGAGGGCTTATGAGAAGGCTTTTTGGAGGTCTGAAAGGGTCAATGGCATCTCACACGTATGATACCCTTAAGTGTGGAAGAGATCGCTGCAGGAAGAGGAATACTGTTTACAACAGCACAGACAGAACTGTGCAAAAACAAGCACATTTGGAAGGAGGCAGTGAATAATTCTGCAACATGGCAACAGATGCAGCCAGAAAAATGGATTGGAGTCAAGTTGTATGGGGCCTCAGCTCAATCCAGTGGTTGATAAGGGGCAAGGAAAGGTTTTAATAAAGGAATGTCAGGATCGAGTCAGGGGAAGCTGGCTACAAGCACAGTAAAAAGTTAGAAGAGTAGTGAAGGGCGGACAGGCTGTAACAAGGGTTTGGCAGTGTAGGAGATTACATTAGTGGCTCCAGCTCTTTATCCTCCTCTGTATCCTCACTTTCTGCCATGTGACTTTGTAGTTCCTCCCACTAAATGGGTGAAGTGTTATTTCCTCACCTTTGATTTTGGATTAGACCCCATGCCTAGCTTTGGCCAGTAGAAGAGACAGCAGAGACATGTGCTTTGGCTTCCCTCTTTGCACTTCTGACATTCCATGAGGAGAACCGTGCTCGGGCTAGCCCACTGGTCCAAGGAAGGGGATGAGACAGACATGAAGCAGAGCCGTCCTGGCTAGTCCCAGTCTAGATCAGCCAACCCTCAAACACCCGAAGACACGTGGTAAGAACCACCCAGGTGAGTGTGGTCTAGATCAGCTGACCCAAGACACACAGGAGCTAATACACGGCTGCTGTTTCAAGCCCCTGAGCCTGGGGCTAGTTGTTACACAGCAGTACTTACAGATGCAGTCAGTCAGTGGGCAAACAGAAGAGGCATGGGTTCACAGGCTCTTTAGGAGGCACATGTGATGATGGGGCTGGGGGCCCACAGGCCTGGTGGGTGAGGCATGAGAAAAGTAGCAGAGGGGTGCACCTTGATGTTTCCAGCTTGAGCAACTGGTCTGATGTGATATTTGACTAAAACAGACAGTGGAGGAAGAAAGGCAGGTTTGTGGGGAACGATAAGGAGTTCCACTTCGGCCTTGGCTTGAGATGCCCAGATGACTTCCAAGAAAGACATCCTTTGGCAATTGGATTGTTTTGTTGCTCAGGTAAAGGACTGAATTTAAGGATGGACCAGTTACTTTCCAACTATATTCTTGCTTTTATGCAGTTATCTCATAAGTGTATGCCCCCACATCAATCTAAATCATGAAAACTCATCATGATAGCTTAGAAAACAATTGAAACTCAGGGATTATTCTGGCCCTTCGCTTTGCTCTTTCCACCTGCCTGGCTTCTGTCCATGTTGCTGGACGTTAACACCACAATCAGCAGAAGTGCAGCTGAAGCAAAAGTGGTGATGATGAAAACCAGTGAAATTTTCCGCCAGTCAGTAACTTCAGTAAAGGTTGGAGAAGATACCACAATCACCGAAAATGGAGATTTCACTTTCCCATAGCGCCCTGAACTCCCAACAGTACAGACAAGTGACTTAGCTAAACATTAACAAATGCTCGATATAAATGGAAAAGGATAGGAAAGCTTTGAACAATCTGGGGATAAAGAAATTTACCTGAGAAAATTATAGATGATTTCTGTGAGGGGAAAAACAGACATGCAGAGTGAAAGGGGTGTTTTGGACAAGAAGTTGTCAGAGCAATCAGGTTCCTGCATGCAGCCAGGTACACGGGTGACATGTTAGCTCACATGTGTGCCTTCTTGGCATTCTACATGTATGTACTTATTTAATCCTCACTGCAACCCCAAAGGGGGTGCTATAATTATTCCCATTCTACACAGCAGGAAATTGAGGCACAGAGAGGCGAAGCAGCCTGCCAAGGGCACACAGAGTACGGGCACTAACTTCCGCATGTGAGGTCTGTGTGCCCACTCCACACAGGGCTCTGCAGACAGGTGTGCTGTGCCAGTCTCGCAGCAGCAGGGCCGGCTGCCATCCTCCATCCACGTGGCCACGTGCTCTGTCGTGCCTCCTGCACTGTCCTCTCGCCTCATTCTGACTGGCTGCCTTCCCAGCCACCAGTCAATAGCTTCACGTCTTGGACACTCACTTGCATCTCTTTCCTCTGGCCCTGGGTCTCGGAGGAAGAATGAGCCAGAAACTGCCTCCCTCTTGGCACACGCTCAGCTCTTTACATCTCAGCACTGCCCTCGAGGGCAACTCGAACAGGCCGGCACCACAGGTGGGTGCACTAGTGAAAGAAACGCAGAACAGTGGCCCAAGAAAGCCCACAGCTGGGCTCGGGAGGCCTGGGTGTGAACAGGCCCAGGGCAAGGTAGCTTCTGAGCCCCCCAGCAGAGCTGTCGGGCAGATTCAGCCCTCTGCCACCTCTATCAGTCACACAAAGGTCCCCCTGAGAGCAGGGACAAAGGCCATGCTGCATGGAAGCCTGCAGGGATGAGTGAATGTTTACAGTGCTGCAGAAGGGCAAGATGCCCAGCCTTGGAGCGAGGGGTGGGCTGAAAGGCACTCGACCAACTGCCAGCTCGCCTGGCAGCTCAGGAGCAGCCAAAAGCCAGTGAGCCAGGAAGACGAAGACCCCCGCGCTCCCTGTGCGCTGCGTGAACCATGTCGATGGAAGTGGCTAAAATCCTGCCCCAGAAGAGCCGAGCAGAATGAGCAGTGGCATTGGTATGCTCCAGCCATTGCTCACGTATCTCCACCGCACGTGACCCTATGCCACACAGGCTCAAAGGACCACAGAACGCAGCTCCACACTGTCATCGGGTGCTAGGGTTACACACGCTCC